ACCGCGCCCGCCCAAATCGCCGACTCGCACTGAAGTGCCCGCTGGGATGTGCCCAGCGGTCAGCGCCACCGCGGCTGCGTCGGTCGCGCCAATCTAGCTGACCGCTGCGCGCGCGTGTTTGGGTTGGCGCGGCCGCAGAGATGGACAAGCCAACGCCAAGCATTCATCGCAATCACCACCGCATGCGTTTTGCAAACCAAGTTGTGGGTGGGTGGGTGGGTGGGATGACTGCGCGAACAGAGGAGTTGACAATTCGCTGCGAACAGGATTTAATTCTCCTTTCTTGAAAGAAAATAGACTCTACCCCCCCCCCCCCGCGTTATCCGCCTCCCTTTCGGGTACGTAAATCATATACGATTCTGACCACATGTCCATCCTAACTATGAATTTACACTATCCCAGGAGAACCAGTATCGATCCCCCTGGGGTTCTCTTGTAAAAAAAAAAAAAAAAAAAAAAAAAAAAAAAAAAAAAAAAAAAAAAAAAAAAACGATACGCGGGGACATCTGTTGTTCTAACATAACACTTCGTCGCGAATTCCTTGCGAAAAACGGGACGAAGTGCACACGCGCTCGCCGTCGCGCGCGCATGCAGGAATCCTCCAAAAACCTCAGTGTCGGAAGGATATCCCAATCGAATTTCCCCCCAAAAAAGAAACATACAAAAACCAAGGGTTTCGCAACACAGGGCCTCGCAACACGGATTTGCTACAAAAACTTACGCGCGAGCTCTTGCGAAGTCTTAATAAAACCATAGGTTTTTCAAGATTTTCACACAATGCTACCAAACGGGCTTCGCGCGCGCATGTCGAAATCTGTCGAACGCCCTTGCGCGTGTGCCGTCGCGAGAATCCTCCTCAAAAAACTGGACGAAGTGCAGACGCGCGCGTCGTCGCGCGCGTATGCCGAAATCCTCCAAAACCCATCGGTTTCGGACGGATTTCAACATCGTGTGTCCAAAATACCTACAAAAACCCAAGGTTTCGCAACACGGATTTTCAACAAAAGCGTGCGCGCGCGCTCTTGCGTCGTCGTCGTCGTCGTCGCCGTCCTGAGATAATATAATACGCTTCCCCCTGAGATGATATAATTTCATATATATATATATATATATATATATATGATCTCTGCTGCCGAGCTTATTCTGCACACTCGCCCATCCTAAATATGAAATCATACCATCCCAGGCAGGCCGGTCCCCCCCCCTGAGGGCCCCTTGTAACAAAAAAAAAAAAAAAAAAAAAAACTATGCGGTGACATTGTTTGCTCTAACATAACACTTTTTTCGCGAATCCCTTGCAACAAATGAGACGAAGTGCACACGCGCGCGTCGTCGCGCGCGCATGCCGAAATCCTTCAAAAACCTTCGGTGCCGGAAGGATTTCGCAATCGAGTTTCCAAACAAACATACAAAAACACATGGTTTCGCAACACTGACTTGCTAAAAAAAGTTTCCGCGCGAGCTCTTGCGAAATCTTAAGAAAACCATAGGTTTTCAAAGATTTTCGCAAAATGCTACCAAACGGGCAGCGCGCGCGCGCATGTCGAAATCTGTCGAACGCCCTTGCGCGTGTGCCGTCGCGAGAATATTCTGCAAAAGAATAGGACGAAGTGCAGACGCGCGCGTGGTCGCGCGCGTACGCCGAAATCCTTCAAAACCCATCGGTTTCGGAAGGATTTCGAAATCGCGCGTCTAAAAAACCTACAAAAACCCAAGGTTTCGCAACACGGATTTTCAACAAAAGCGTGCGCGCGCGCCGCTCTTGCGTCGTCGTCGTCGTCGTCCCGTCCTCTCCTCATCCCGTCGTTGTCGTCGTCGTCGTCGCCTACGTCGTCCTCTGTCTTTCCTCGTGTTCGTCGTCGTCGTCCTCTTGGCGTCGTGGTCGTTTCCGTCGTCGTTGTCGCCGTGGTCGTCCGTCCTCCTCCTCCCTCGTCGTCGTCGTCGTCGTCGTCGTCGTCCGTCGTCGGCGTCTCGTCGTCGTCCCTCCTATTTCGTCGCCGTCGTCGTCGTCGTCGTCGTTGTCGTCGTCGTCGTCGTCTTCCCTCATCCCTCGTCGTTGCCGTCGTCGGCGTAGCCGTCCTTCCTCCTTCTTCGTCGTTCGCGTCGTCTCCGTCCTCCCTCCTCCCTCGTCGTTGTCGTCGTTGTCGCCGTTGTCGTCGTCGTCGTCCTCCCTCCTCCCTCGTCGTCTTCGTTGGCGACGTCGTCGTCTTCGCCGTCGTCGTCGGCGTCGGCGTCGTCGTCGTCTTCGTCGTCGTTGTCGGCGTCGTCGTCGTCGCCGCCGTCGTCGTCGTCGTCGTCGTCGTCGGCGTCGTTGACGTCGTCGTCGTCGTCGTCGGCGTCGTCGTTGTCGGCGTCGTCATCGTCGTCGTCGTTGTCATCGTCGTCGTCGTCGGCGTCGGCGTCGGCGTCGTCGGTGTCGTCGTCGTCGTCGCCGTCTTTGTCGGAGTCGTCGAAGTCGTTGGAGACGTCGTCGGTGTCGTCATAGTCGTTGTCGGCGGCGTCGTCGTCGTCGTTGTCGCTGTCGTCGTCGGCGTCGCTGTCGTTGGCAAGTGCCATTTGGTACCCACCGTCACGGTCTTGAGAGATTTTGCGAACCAAGTTGCGGGTGGGTGGGTGGGATGTTTGCGCGAGCAGTGGAGTGGTCAAGCGCGGTGCAGGGTAGTCAATTACACCACATAGATTGCACCACAGATGTTGCAGCACATAGATTGCACCATATATATATATATTACCCCACACATATTGCCCAACGTATACTGCACCACGTACATGGCACAATATGGACCGCAACAAACACGCACACACATAAATATACATATATATATATATACACACATAGGTACATACATATAAATGTAGATTGCGCATCATAAACGTAACAGCACAGATCGCACCACATAGATTCTCCTTTCTAGAAGCAGAATAAACTCTACCCCCCCCTCGCGTTATCCCCCCCTTTCTGGTATGTAAATCCTATATGCTTATGGCCACATGTCCATCCTAAATTTGAACTTACACTATCCCCGAGGGGCCGGGATCGGCCCCCTCTGAGGTTCCCTTGTAAAAAACGATACGCGGGGACATCTTTTGTTCTAACATAAGACTTGTTTCGCGAATCCCTTGCAAAAAGACTGCACAATCCCTTTGGGACGAAGTGCACACGCGCGCGTCGTCGCGCGCGCATGCCGAAATCCTTCAAAAACCTTAGGTGCCGGAAAGATTTCGCAATCGAGCTTCAAAAAACACACACACACACACACACACACGCACACACACACAAAAAAAACACCGGGTTTCGCAAAACTGATTTGCCAAAAAAACTTACGCGCGAGCTCTTGCGAAATCTTAAGAACACCATAGGTTTTCAAAGATTTTCGCAAAATGCTACCAAACGGGCAGCGCGCGCGCGCATGTCGAAATCTGTCGAACGCCCTTGCGCGTGTGCCGTCGCGAGAATCCTCTGCAAAAAAATCGGCGAAGTGCAGACGCGCGCGTGGTCGCGCGCGTATGCCGAAATCCTTCAAAACCCATCGGTTTCGGAAGGATTTCAAAATCGTGTGTCCAAAAAACCTACAAAAACACAAGGTTTCGCAACACGGATTTTCAACAAAAGCGTGCGCGCGCGCTCTTGCGTCGTCGTCGTCGTCGTCGTCGTCGCCGTCCTCCCTCCTCCCGCGTCGTCGTCGTCGTCGCCTACGTCGTCCTCTGTCTTTCCTCGTGTTCGTCGTCGTCGTCGTCCTCTTTGGCGTCGTGGTCGTTTCCGTCGTCGTTGTCACCGTGGTCGTCCTCCCTCCTCCTCCCTCGTCGTCGTCGTCGTCCGTCATCGGCGTCTCGTCGTCGTCCCTCCTATTTCGTCGCCGTCGTCATCGTCGTCGTCGTTGTCGTCGTCGTCTTCCCTCCTCCCTCGTCGTTGTCGTCGTCGGCGTCGCCGTCCTTCCTCCTTCTTCGTCGTTCGCGTCGTCGCCGTCCTCCCTCCTCCCTCGTCGTTGTCGTCGTTGTCGCCGTCGTCGTCCTCCCTCCTCCCTCGCCGTCGTCGTCGTCGGCGTCTCGTCGTCGTCCCTCCTATTTGGTCGCCGTCGTCGTCGTCGTCGTTGCCGTCGTCGTCGTCTTCCCTCCTCCCTCGTCGTTGTCGTCGTCGGCGTCGCCGTCCTTCCTCCTCCCTCGTCGTTCGCGTCGTCGCCGTCCTCCCTCCTCCCTCGTCGTTGTCGCCGTCGTCGTCCTCCCTCCTCCCTCGTCGTCGTCTTCGTTGGCGACGTCGTCGTCGTCTTCGTCGTCGTCGCCGCCGTCGTCGTCGTCGTCGTCGTCGTCGGCGTCGTTGACGTCGTCGTCGTCGTCGGTGTCGTCGTTGTCGTCGTCGTCGTCGGCGTCATCGTCGTCGTCGTGGTCATCGTCGTCGTCGTCGTCGGCGTCGGCGTCGTCGTCGTCGTCGGTGTCGTCGTCGTCGTCGTTCGTCGTCGTTGTCGGCGTCGTCGAAGTCGTTGGAGACGTCGTCGGTGTCGTCGTAGTCGTTGTCGGCGGCGTCGTCGTCGTCGTTGTCGCTATCGTTGTCGACGTCGCTGTCGTTGCCAAGTGCCATTTGGTACCCACCGTCACGGTCGTAAGAGATTTTGCAAACCAAGTTGCGGGTGGGTGGGTGGGATGTTTGCAGGAGCAGTGGAGTTGACAACTTCAAGTTCGGCAAGTGAGTTGCACCACATAGATTGTACCGCAGATATTGCACCACATAGATTGCACCACATAGATTGATCCACATCGATTGCACAAGATAGGTTGCTAGGAACACACTGCTTGGGGTCCACGCTGGCTAACACTCTGGTTCAGTCTTCGAGCAAGATCGATCTGTGAGGGTCCTGGGGCCTGGACCCGGGCGAACACGATTCTCAGGGCAGGTCCCACCGCCGCCCGCGACGGCGCTCTCTGCCCCCTTCGGGGCCCAGCCCTGCAGAGCCGGCAGGAGGAGAGCAGGAGGAGCAGGAGGAGGAGGAGGAGGACGAAACCACCTGTGACGCACTGGCCTCACCGTCCACCATCGCGCCGCCCGACGGCAGCAGGCCCTCGACTGGAGAGCCCGAGCGGGTTGCGAGCTCGAGGCAGCGGCCGCGCGGCGCAGACGCCGGACGAGAGGCCGCCCTCAGGGCCAACGCCGGAGCCGAAACGGCTGCGGAGCGGCGCCGCCGCGCCTCCTGCCGTTGAGCGAGCAACGGCATGTGTACATGTACGCCCTCCGCGGTATTGCGTGCACGAACCTCCGCGTTCAAACGCAATTCGGCGGAAACAAACCGCGTACATGTACATATGTTGTTGCCCCCTGAGCCGTGGCGCCGCCTGGAAACCCAGGGCGGGGAGTTCCGCCCTGCCAGCAGCATGGGCCAGAGCATGGCGGATCCGAAGTCACGGCAGACGTCCAGGGGCCCACGCTGCAAGAGAGGTCGCGGCGTCTGCATGCTGGTCTGCTCGGCCGCGACGGCTCGAAGAGGGGATCGACTACAGAATTGGTTTACCCCGCAATTGATTTCTCCATCGAAGCTACGAAAACGACGTGGAATGCGCAGTAGATCTACGGAGCATCCTGCGAATTTCTCGCAGAGTCAACGGAAAATCCATTTAGGGGTAAATCGATTCTGTAGATGGGGTCGGAGGATCGCGCCGTATCGAAGATACATCGGCGATGCATCGCCGATGCATCGGCGATGCACTGGCGATGCATCGTCGACGTGGGCGATACATCGGCGACGTCGACGTGAAGCAAATCGGGCTCCGCATCAAGCCGCATCGCCGATGCGTCGGCGATGCGGCGCGATCCTCCGATCCCGTCTACTCCGACCCCATCTAGGAGGCCTAGATGCCCACAGAGACCCCCTCACGCTGTGAAAGTATCGCGACGGGAGGGTTTTCCGCTGTTTTCGGCCTCCAGGAGCCCTTGCTGGGCCCCAGGACCGTCATGCAAAGCCGGAGGAAACACCGGTCCCGGGGAAGGGGTCTAGACCTCTGGGAGTCGACGTTGCGACAAAACCACGACGTCGGGGGCCTGGGCATGTGGAACAGACATCGCCAACTCCCTGCCGCCGCGCTGGAGGGAGCACGATCTACCCTCGCCTGGCTGGAAAAATCTCCCCCCCCTTCCGAGAACCAGGGGTGACTCTTGGATTTACACTGGTCCTCCTCCTCCGCCTCCGCCTCCTCCTCCTCCTCCTCCTCCGCCTCCTCCTCCTCCTCCTCCTCCGCCTCCTCCTCCTCCTCCTCCTCCTCCTCCTCCTCCTCCTCCGCCGCCGCCGCCGCCGCCGCCGCCGCCGCCGCCGCCGCCGCCGCCGCCGCCGCCGCGCCGCCGCCGCCGCCGCGCCTCCTCCTCCTCCTCCTCCTCCTCCTCCTCCTCCTCCTCACCTCCTCCTCCTCCTCCTCCTCCTCCTCCCTCCTCTCCTCCTCTCCTCCTCCTCCTCCTCCTCCTCCTCCTCCTCCTCCTCCTCCTCCTCTCCTCCTCCTCCTCCTCCTCCTCCTCCTCCTCCTCCTCCGCCTCCTCCTCCTCCTCCTCCTCCTCCTCCTCCTCCTCCTCCTCCTCCTCCTCCTCCTCCTCCTCCTCCTCCTCCTCCTCCCTCCCCCTCCCCCTCACAGTAGGGGGGGAAGGGGGGTCAAAATTCCTCCCCCGCCTGCTCGGAGAACTGGCCGAGAGAGAGGATGGGGGCCACCGACCCCCGTCCTCTCTCTCTCTCTCGACCCCTGCCCGGGTGTGGCCAGCGCTCCGTCCCGCGAGCGGCTTCTTGCCCGAGCCGGCCCCGGGTGGCAGGCTGAAGTCGGGCCTGTCCCCCTAGGCGGGGATTTTCGACGAAAAAGAAAAAAAACAAAAAATAATCCAAAAATAATCCAAAAACAGTCTGGGGACTATTTTTTGAACATTTGTTTGCCATTTTGGCGCATTTTTTATATTTTTCATTTTTCGTCGAAAATCCCCCTGTAGGGGGACACGCCCGACTTCATGGCAGGCCCGCGTCGCGCGGGCAGCAATAGGGGGTGAGCTAACTGAGGGGTGGAGGAACCTGGACATCCGGCTGCTCCGATTTTTTGGGGTGCGTGGACCCCAGAAGTCCCGACCGCTTCCCTGGGACCGGTTCTCCGTCCCGCATCGCTTTGTGCCGCTCCCGAGCCCCAGCGAGGGCCCCCGAAGGCCGAAAACTGCCCAAATCCCGCCGCTCCCATTTTTTTGAAGCGTCGGGTCTCAGGGAAGAGGGCCCCGAAGGGGCCCAACCAGCATGGGACCCCAAAGGCGCCCCCAAAGGGCCCTTTCGGGGCCCTTTTCTCCATCCCCCCTTCAAGGCAACCCCCTTCCCTGAGATCCGACGTTGCAACCAAATTGCAACATCGCAAAAATCACGCCCAGAGACCTGGACCTCAGCTTTCCGCGTCATTTTTCGAGCCCGATCGATATGTGAGGGTCCCGGGGCCCGAAATCGAGCGAAAACGCCAGTTGCAAAAAAATTGCAACGCCAGGATCTCAGGGTTAACCTAGGCACGCCAGACCAGGACATCCAACATGCCTCGAAACCAGATTTCCCCGACGGCGGCACGAGCAAAAAACTGCACGAGTGTCGCTTCTCCAGCTCTTGCCACTGTCCTGCTTAGCCTTTGTCCTGGTCTCGGGGGGGCCGATCAGAAGAAGACAAAACGGCATGAGCATAAACTTTTGGCGCTCCGCGCGGATTCGTCGGATCTGCGCTGGACCCCCTCCCTGGCGCGCGGTGCGCGCCAGGGGCGGCGCAGGAAGCGCCGCCAGGGGAGAGGGGGGGCAGGCGCCGATCCAAGAAATCTGGACGGATCGCCGAAACTATATGCTTATGCCGTTTCTTCTTCTTCGATGGTCCTCGTCCTGGTCTCGTGGGGGGCTGATGCCACCCGCGAGACCTGTGCGCCGGAAGCTTGGCCACGCGCAGAAGGGGGCAGGGGGAAGGGGGAAGGCTTCTTAGAAGCACCCTTGCTTCTTAGAAGGCGCGGGCCTTCTTTGTAGATGTAAGGCCGGCGCCTTCTAAGAAGCAGCCTCCTTCTAAGAAGCCTTCCCCCCTCCCCCTAACCCCTTTGTGCGCGCCGCCAAGAAGCGGCGAGGCAAATCCGGCACTACGTTTTTCTCCGGCCGCCCGGACCCCTGACGCTGCTTCGTTTTCGGTCTGGTTTCGTATGCCCTCTTAGGTTTTGGTTTTCGTTTTGGGTTTGGTTTTGGTTTTCGGTTTCGTTTTTCGGTTTGGTTTGGTTTCGTTTGGTTGTTTTCGGTCCGGTTTCCCTCGTTTTAGGGCGACGACATCTATATGTATCCGCTGCTCCCTGGCCAGGCCCATCCTGAGCCCAGCAGCGGCGTATACGCCACGCCCTCCTGGCTTGGCCAAGGGGACGTCTACACAACTCCTGGGCCCAATGAAGGCCCGGCCAGGGGGCAATGGATATGTGTATAGGTCTCGTCGCCCGACGTTCTGCCTTGGCTGCGACACCAAACCGGAACGAAATTGTGCCACGAAATCGCCAAAACACCGCTCTGCCCCCAGACCCCCGACGTCATGATTTCTTCATTGCGTCGACCCCTGGAAGTCTCGACCCATTCCCCTGGACCGGTTTGTCATCCTGAGTCGATTTTGACGGTCCCGAGGGCCGGCAAGGGCCCCAAGAGGCCGAAAACAGCAAAAAACCTGCTGTCATGATTCTTTGGTTGCCCGAGGGGGTCTGGGTCCCGAGCCCTGCACGACCACTGGCGACGACGGCGGCGACCACGCCGCGGCAGCCGCAGCGCGCAGGGGCGGACCCGGGGGTTGCCTCGTCGTCCCCGCCGTCGCCGCTGCCGAAGCCGCCGCCGCCGCCGCCAACCGCGCCGGTCGGCGTCGGCGTCGCCGTCGCCGCGGTCGTCGTCGGCGTCGCCGCCGCGCCGCGCCCGTCGTCGTCGTCGCCGCGGGCCGGGGGCGCCTCCATGTCCCTCGGCGGGGGGGCGGGGGCGGCCCGGGCCGGCACGATGAGGCGCAGGTCCCCGCCGCTGCCGAGCGACCCCTGGGGGCCCCCTCGCCGAGCATCAGAAGGGGGGGGCCAGCAGGAGGGCAGGAAGAGAAGCAGCAAGGCGGGAGGGTCAGAAAGAGGGCGACTAGAGGAAGAAACAATGGTGGAGGAGGAGGAGGAAGGGAGAAGGAGGAGGAGGAGGAGGAGGAGAAGGAGAAGGAGGAGGACGAGGAGGAGGACGAGGAGGAGGAGGCGGGGAATGAAGGGGGGAGGAGGAGGGGGAGGAAGAGGACGAGGAGGAGGAGGAGGAGGAGGAGGAAGAGGAGGGGGGAACTCATGACCTCTCAAGTCATTGAGAGAGCCGTGAGCTAGGTGCGGCGCCCGCTTCCCCACCGCGGCAGGCTACGACAGAGCCAACGCAACGAGACTCCCTTTCCTGGATTAACACCATACCATGGCCATTTCCCCGAGACAGGTCATCATGGAATTTTCTTCTCACGTTTATGCACATGCAGCTGATTCATTTGTCGCACAATTCCGCTAAGCTTGCGATCGCCTCGGCTACGCTGCTCGCAAACATCGTGTGTCACCGTCTCTGTCTGGCGACATCCTCCTGATCCTTCAAGATGCGGGTCGTGGCTGCGATCAGTTCAAGATAGTTGGAACTTCTACGTGCAGAGGCGGACTCAACGAATATGCCGAAGTATTCGTGCCGAGCGCCACAAAAGTTGCTACTGCCGCAATACAAGCAAAGTCCACCGCCGCTCGCCCATCTTTAAGTCGCAGTGGACTCCTGTTGCCCGCCGCCATCTCCTCCGCCTCGCTTTCTATGAATACCGGAACCCCGACCGCCGTCATCACATTCGGCGGAAGGTCCGACAGTTGCAGACAGCACAATCGCAGACGAATATATTAATGAACGCATCGGCAAACTTAATGGACAGCATAGTATGATTACTTCTGGCAGCACACGTACTTGTGTACAGCAGGGTCAAGATATATCAACGAGCGCGGCTCCTTCCAGTAATGCACATACTTGAACGCCCCCATTGATCAGAGCTACTTCACCAGCACCACCAATCATCACAGACGAAGACGATCAAACGGCCACATGGAAAGACATCAAGGAAATATGTTTCACTTTTATTCACGTGTTGGTTGGATGCCTGTAGACCCATCGGGAACAGTGATTGATGGAGCTCCTTGTTATGATTGCAAGAGTAGAAGTACCTGTTCAGCAACCCGGACAATACACAAGCACCGCGCCTGT